CCGGGCTCCATGGGACTGTGAGAACTGGAATAACAGTTCTCGGCAGGCTGCCACCCCCAGGGCACCTCACAGACAGCCCACTGAAACACACCCCAGTCTTCTGTGAAAAAGGCCTATTTACTCACGTTGGAGCTTCAGCCTGAGGGGCAGGCTTCAGGTCTGCCACACATCTAGGAGCTATGGGTGTGCTCTCCGGGAGCACAAGCCGTGCGGCACCAACTTTGTTCCTAGGGCGTCCTATAGCTTGACGATACCTCATGAAAAGCGCCTATACTCTTGTCTGGAGCACTGATTTTTGCAACTGTTGCCCAGAGATCGCTTCCGGATCTCCTGGTCTGGAGGCCAGCAGGGTTTACGATCGCAGCCTCGCGAGACTGTGTACATTCACATCATTAAAAGCTGCCACATGAGGGTTTGGCTTCCCATCAGCCTGAAACTAGGTATCAAGTGAGATCCCTACACTTGGAACATTGTGTTTGGGGTGGGCAAGATGGGTGAAAGGGGTCAAGAGGTACAAACTTCCAGTCATAAAATAAGTCATGGGGATGCGGTGTGCCGCACGGTGCCTATAGTCAGTACCGTTGTAGAGCATACTTGAAAGTTGCCAAGGGAGTAAATCCTGAAAGTTAATTTTGTGTGGTAACAGATGGTAACTACAGGCCTCCCTCCTTTCATTTCACTTCACTTTATTACGCTTTGTAGACACTGCATTTGTTACAAATTGAAGTTTTATGGCAACCTTGTGTAGAGTGAATATATCAGCACCGTTTTTTTCCAACAGCATTTGCTCACTTCATGTCTCTGAGTTCCATTTTGGTAATTCTTGCAATATTTAAAACTTTTTCATCACTATTACACTTTTTATTATGATCTGTGATCTGTGATCTTTGATGTTACTACAACTTGCTAAAAGCTTAAATGATGGTTTGCACTTTTTAGCAGAAAACTTTTAAAATTGAAGTCTGTCCTTTGTTTTTTTTAGATATAATGCTATTTCACACTTAATAGACTACAGTAAGCATAAACATAACTTTTATGTGCACTGGGGAACTAAAAAATTTGTGTGACCCACTTTATTGCAGTATTTGGTTTATTGTAGTGGTCTGGAACCTGCCATATCTCCAAGGTATGCCTATAGACTTACTGTGGTGATCATTTCGCAATGTATATAAATAACAAATTATTATGTGTCCACCCAAAACCAATATAATGTTATATGGTAATTATATCTCAATAATTAAAAAAATAACGAATGTTCATTGAACAAGTTGGATGTAACACTGTCCTGGGCTCTGTATTTACTGTAATAAACCATTAACCCCTGCTTTGCTTGATGAAAATTTGCTAACTTGACTTCTTAGTTATGTCTACCATGTATTCAGCTTGCCAACACGCTGTAAAATACATCTTACTCACCTCTAGCAGTGCCAGGAAGTAGACTGGGGCATATGACACAACCAGCCAGCCTGAACTGTCTGATTAAATGGGACAGAAGTACATCAGACAACACCTGAGATCATGCCAGCGACATGGCCTCTACCGAATGTGCCCACATTCCGTTCAACATGTATCCATTGTGATCCTCAAAGGTGTGTATTTTGTTTAAAAATCTGTCTCATCCACTAGCCTGTGAGCCCGAGAATATTAATTGTGTTCTTTTGCACTTCCCTCTGCCTTTACAAATAGCTCAGCGTCTGTGAATTTAGAATGAAGTAATTATTGATAGAGTAAAATAGTAGAGAGGATGTTAAAACTTTTTACTGGCTACTGTAACAAGTATTTCAAAAATACATCCACTGAGTTTATTGTTCTTTGTTAGGCAGAGGTGAATGCCTACCGTGCGCTATTATTAACTGCGTTACGTGTTATAAAGTAGCGCTCTGGGCTGTATCACTCTGACTACATTTGGAATGTATCATTCTTTCTCTTTTCTGGGATTTATGATTTAGGAGGCCTGAAGTCAAATGGGAAATGCTTTCTGTGAAGGTCAACCAAATTAGGGGAATAGATCCATTTTAAATATAAGCTATCACCAGCCAGAAAGCTGAATTTGGTATTAGAGTTTATTAAATCCAGACCTATGGGTTTCCCAAGCTTGCATCTTTCAATATAAATTACATTAAATATTGAACACTGAGGGGAAAAGGCAGAAAAGGGACCAGCTGTCCCAACTGAGGCAAAATGCCATTCCCTGAAATCATGGCTTATCCTATGCTTGAACTTAATTTAACATCTAGTTAATTGGAAAATCCAGCTAGTAAATTAGTCTGGTAACTAGCTTTTTGTAACATTTCCGGGACATCTGGTCATTAAGAAAAAAATGTTTTAAAATGCATCCTTCTCTGACAGTGACAAATTCTAGCAGCTTTTCTGTATGATATATTGGCATTGGAATCATACTTGAAGTTTAAATGCATCCTAAATAAGTGAATTAGAAATAAGCATTTATAAATGACTTCATTTATCAGATAGCTACTGCTTCTCATCACTACTGCAAAGTCCAAAGTCTCTTCTAAATGTCACCCAAGTCAGATACGGGTGAGACTCATCCTGAGGGAAAGTGCTCTCCGCTGGGAACCTGTGAAGCCAAGAAAGTTAAGTGTTTGCAAATCATAGCAGGCGGTCATTTCCATTCCAAGAGGATAAAACAGGGAAGAAGAAAGGAGGGACAGGTCCCAGGTAAGTCTAAGACCAAACAGGACAAACAACACTAAATCTTAAGGCTCAAGAATGACCTTTGCCTCAAAACTCTACCTTCTAGACCCACTGGAGTGGCAGTGTCAGCCCAGGGCACAGCAGGAAGGCCTGCAGAAGCTGCCTGGGCTCCATGGCTCTCTGCGTCTGGGGTCCTCAGCCCATGACTCTCCCAGGTAGCTGAGTCCTTTGAATTCTAGGTGGAGGCAGCCTCCTAGGCCTGTGCCGGGGGAGACAGGGTCACAGGAACAATATCAAAATTTGGTGCCTACGGCCCTTGGAGGGGCAGCCACGAGGCCTGTGCCACACCAGGATCCACCAGAGCCGCTGTGCCTGGTGGCAGAGGAGTGTGGCACCAGAGTGCAGAGGTCAGAGCCCAAGGAGTGAGGTGGCACCAGACAGCTGGCACATAGGTCCCACGGCTGCTGGGGTCCCTTCTTTGAACCCCTTTGCTCCCCAGGCCCTTGTACTTGGGGCTTGTGATGCGAGTGGCAGCTCTGCTGATCTCTGAGTTCCCTTTGGGGGTCATGCTTCATTGTCTTGGAGAGTAGCATCTGGTTTCCGTTCAGATGGCCCAGACCCACTATTCCCTGTGGTCACTTAAATACACCCTCAGTGTTCTAACTTTTTGCAACCTGGATAGGCTGAGAATTTTCCTAATCTTTACATTTTTCTTCCTTTTTGCTTAACAATTCTATCTTTAAGTCAATTCCCTCAGCTTGAATTTTACTAGAAGCAGTCTGGAGGAGCCACGCTGTGCCTTCAGCGCTTTTCTTAGCAATTGCTTCAGCTAAGTATCCCAGTTCACCACTTGCAAGCTCTATCTTCCACCAACCACTAGAACATGAATACAACTCAGCCAAGTTGTTTGCCACTTTAAAATAAGGCTCGCCTCTCCTACGGTTTTCAATAACATGTTCCTCATTTCTGCCTGAGATCTCTCATCAAAATGGCCTTTTTGTCCATATTTCTACCAACTTTCTGTTCATGGCTACTTAGGTACTCTCTAAGAAGACCGAGGCTTCCTCTACAGCTCTCCTCTTTTCTTCCTGAGGTCTCAGTAGAATCATCTTTACAATTCTGCTCACGGCACTCAAGGTGTTTGCCAGCATGAACCTTAAAACTTCCAGCCTCCACTCCTGACCCAGTGCCAAAGTCACTGCTACATGTTTACGTGTTTGTTACGCAGCATCCTCACTTCTCTGTACCAACTTTCATCCTTGTCTGTTTTGGCTGCTATAATAAAAATACCGTAGACTGAGTGGCTTAAACAACAAACACTTATTTCTTTTTGTTTCTTTCTTTCTTCCTCTCCTCTCCTCTCTTTTCTTCTCTCTCTTTCTTTCTTTCTTTCTTTCTTTCTTTTTTCTTTCTTTCTTTCTCTCCTCCTCCTTC